CGGTATAGGAGAGCCTAGGTTTTTACATGCTGTCTGATTTAATATTCCCACTCCACTGTGCTTCGTACCTTTGAGACATAGTACACACAGGGAAATGTTGTTTTATTTCTCAGCACATTTCCTTTTGGCCTTTCCAGAGACGGAATCCAAAAGCACGTTGATGTGTGTTTCTGGGAAGCTTTGTGATACTAGGAGAGTCGGCAAGTTCTACTTCCCTGCCAACATATCCTCTTTCTGACAGTCTTCTTGACCAACTGGCTACCCTTATCACTCAACACTGACATCCATGTGTTCCCTATGGTTATGATGATAGACTTCCCAAACTCATGTTCACAAACTAAGCAGGAACAGGGAACCCTCACCCTCCATCCAGAGCTATGATGAGCCAGATGGCAGTTCACAATCCACCGAGGAGAAGAGCCAGAGCAGTGTCTTCTGTAACTCTGCGTGTCTCTATGCGTTTAGCAGCCTTTCCACCAGGGCCGATGACACAAACAACCGACCGACCGTGGAGTACCCAGTCCAAGGACAGCTGACTTGAATGACAGTGATGAGAGAAACAGAATCTTGAGGTTCAGTCCTCACTTGGGGATTCCTCTTCAGAAGGGGCAACTGCCGCCTTCTACTTTCCCAACACTTCTCTTCCTGAAAGGCACCCTCCCGAGACCATGTCCATGCGGCAGATGGAGAGGGGGTGGGTACGAGGGTCAGTGACAGGCCCTGTGGCCCCTCCTCCTCAAGGGTGTCGCAGGTTTCAAGGGACCTGGCGTATATGGCATACTGTTCTCAATATGTTTGCTCCGTTTCTTAGCGCTATGTGTTTTAACCAAGGTCACCTCTCCTAGAAAGGTTGTTTCCCCAGGTGGGGATTTTTCCCTGGAGTTAGGGATTAACAGGACTAAGGAAGGGAATCAGTAAAACCCCTTAACTAAGTGCCAGGTGGGTAGTTAATCACTTTAACTATGAACAATCACGCTTAAACTACATAATCTTTACTTAGGATAATCTGCTTCAGTTACTTCCTTGTAGCTTAACAGAACAATAGAGTAGTGACCTTGGAATGGAGATAACAAACGCCTAACCTTTGGAATAGAATGGATAGGATTAAAATCAACTGGTATAAATACAGATGTAACAGGAGAATAAAGACAGAACCTGGCTGGAGAACTTGGCTAGAGAACCTGGCTAGAACCTGGCTAGAGAACCTGGCTAGGCTGCTGATCAACTGAACGCTGCCTCTGTGTCCTTCCCTCTTCGCCGACTCTGTCCACACCTTTGGGAACCCCTGGACCTGTTGGGGCTGGACCCCAACAGAAAAGGGAACATGCACACGGGGAGAACACCATGTTAACAAGAAGGTAGAAATCAGGCCTACATTTCTACAAGCCAAGGGACACCAAGGACTGCCAAAAACCAACCAGAAGCTTAGGTGAGAGGCATGGAAGAGATTTTTTTCTCACAGTCATCGGAAGGAACACACCCTGCCAATATCTTGATCTTGGACTTCTAGCC